TGTTTTGGTGTCATCTGTGTGGCTGGATAACTCAAAACCATACCAACAACATACATTATATTATAGATTATTAAACCAGCTAAAAATAAAAATATGTTTATTTAAGTAAATATTTTTGTTTATTAAGATAAGACATATAATTTCATGCAGCGCTGTGAACGCAGCATAATGAAATAAATAAAACAATTAAAATCAATTTAAAAACCACACACACACTCTGTTAAGTCACTAGATGCCGATTTCTTGATTGACCGTTTTCCAATTCGCTTCGTTTTTTGAAGCCATAGCTGTCGTACACAAAAAATCTGCCGAGACTAAACGTATTCACTTTCTTGGGTGGAGTGCTATGCTAACAATTTTCACCCTTCCACTGCTGCCGACCATGAGCGTTCATTAAATATTTCGCAACCTCCGCCCCTAGTCGCTCCACCACTCAACGTTTATTTCATTGCATTGTCATTTCGAGGCGGCGGCCGGTAAATTTTTAAAACGGCAACCGACGTAAAACATGGATGAAATCAGTCTCGACACCTGCCAAACGAAATAACAGTGAGCTCACTTAAATCGATACAGAAACTACGGGTCTTAAAGACGAAAATTACGTTATTGAAAACCATTCGGAATTGCGAGTCGTCTATTGTACGATGTTTTGTATCGCTTGGTTGTAAATTAATTTCGTAGTGCGAAAACTATACTGTACTCTTAAAAATGTTGAACACTCCTTCTTAAGAATCCTCTAATAAATAAATAACTCAAAGTAAGAGTGATTGAGCAAAATGTAGACTTAACGAAGAGAGTTAATTCACGCAACCGTTTTATTTTTAGCATTGCATCAAAAAAGTGCTACTATGGTACGTAGAAAATATTTTTTTTCTTTTTTAATAAACGGTGCACCCCGAGGAATACGAGTACTCAGGAGGAGTGAAAGTGACCAGACTTGTATGTTTGTATCGGGAGGTGATGTAAGTCCTTGGCAATATTGGGATTGAGTCTTCAAGGAAATTTGAGATCGCCTATAAAAAACATGTATCATTTTGTACAACATTCAAGATTGTTTTGCCCTGATGATGACCTTAAAATAAGTCGAAACCTTGGCAGTAACAACTGAATTTGCTTTCTTCTTCGAGACCATATCTTGATCCAGAGTGTTCCTGAGTGAAAAAGTGGTCGGTAATTCGAATACTGAAAAGAAAACATGATTTTTTGTTTCAGAAGTAAATCCATGTTTTTCAAAGTTCAAATTATTTAATTCAATGTACAGATTTTATTTTATTTTATGTATGCCAGGTTGGAGTGTCAGCTTTATGAGGAGATCGAAAGAGTTCAATGCTTTTTTATTTTGAAAGATTTTCTCATTTCCTGACTCCCGCCAAACTGTATGTTACGTATTGAAACAGTAGTAGATACGATTTTTTTTCACACTTAGCTTGCACTTCTCGTTTATTCTCATGGTACCTAAAGGCTCTGTTTCTCGAATTACTAAAATTACTGATCTCGAGACTGTTAAATCTAATAGCTCTTGGCTTTTTCATTGAAGTTTATTAGCTTTCAATATACTCGGAACTTTAGAGTTAGGTGATCAACATCACGAGAGTTGTGAACATCGTACGCAGTCCTCAAACAGGTATCCTTTTTAAGGAGCTTGACCATTCCAAGGCAACGTTTAACTTAAATGTTCAAGAACTCTTCTGAAACTCCCTGTTCTACGATGGCTACTTAAACTTTGGTGCGAGCAAGCGTTTCTCAATTCTATGTCATAGAACGAAGACGACGGAACGCTTTGTAACCTAAGAGTCCAAGAGGGTATTTTTCATTTTGTTGCCGTCACAGCTTCGAATCCTGTTTCTAGTATACAGAGCACTTTCCAGGTCTCTGTTTGATCTCTTAAACATCATAGATGCTGAAAAATCGCAAAGTATTTTGCTCCGGCACTTTATGGCTGGCAATATATGTACAAGTTCAGTAACGATTAGTAATTACTTTATTTGGATAATTTAATGCCCAATTTTACCTGTCTTAAATAATTATATTTATAGCCAATTTCCGGCAGACGGATATCCATAACGTATAAAACTTTATAAATATTCAATATGTTGTGTTTCTTTCTTTCTCGTAAATAAAGTTTGTTATCTATCTATGTACGCAGAATACAAACAAAAGGACTTTTGAGGTCTGTCAAAATGCAAATATAAATGATAATAATCTGAAAATTTTATATTATAATGTCAACAGCCTTGTAAAGGAGGTACCGTGTTATTAACATAGTACTACATAGTAAGTGAACGTATTTCGAAATTTTCATATGCAAAATGTGGCTAAACTGTTCAGGAAGGTTAGTAATAATTTTTCGAATAGGTTTTTTTGAGTTCTTTTTCGTTAACCGCAATGATTATAGAATTTTTTTTTATATGTCGCAAATAAGTAAAAAAGTCTGAGTTGATAGATTACTTTCTAAAAATTGTCTTGATGAAAATCGTTCAATGAATTTTGAATTTCGTTCTGGTTTGACAACTTTTTGAAAGGATCAATCTTCCTTCTTCCTGAGTATTTTGTAAAAAGTTTCATTGTAAGCAACTAACACGTGGGATATGGTATTAATAGAAATATATTAACATTTCCAGAGTCAATTTTAAGTATTAATTCTGAAAGTAAACCACGGACGAGTACGAATAACGACCAATGCCATTGCAATCGGGTTCGGACAATCATTCCGGAGCTTGAAAAGCGGAAGCGCTATCAAGATCTTAGAGGCGGCGACGAACTAGAATTAAATACTCGTTACACGCCATATAATAATGTGCGGAAAGCTATTTCCACGTTGATAAGAATCTTTTTCAATGTTTCGTTATGTTTAATAATAATAAGCGCTCGTTTTCGATAACTGTGCTTCCCTTTACCTTGAGCTTATTATCAGACTTATATTGTAATACAGTTTCGGGCGGACAACAGTAGCAGGTGAAATAAATTTGTATCGCAACGAAAAAGAGTCACATGGGTAGGTGTTACGATTGTCATTTTGACCGCCGGGTAGATGCGCCAAGTGATTTAGCACCATACTTATTACTTTTAGATTGCACTACACCGCAGAGCAGTGTGCTCGGACCTCTATATCCTTCATACTGCAAATGTTCCCATTAAACCCGCCATCCTCCTTGCAACTCTTGACGATGACACAGCTGTACTCTCCTCTAACCCCGATCCTGCGGTTGCTTAGGAAGATCTGCAGGGACATGACACGTGATTGGTGTAGACGATGGAAAATGAAGATAAATGAAAACATGTGCATCCATGTTACATTTATACTCCGAAGCAAACCTCTCACACAATATACTACAACAACGTTCCTATACCCAAATCCGACTGCGTTCTTTACCTTGGGATCTAGACGCACCTTAACGTGGAATCCGCATATACGACTGAAACGACAAGATTTAAACAGACGTTACGATTTACTCTACAAACTTATAGTACGACAATCCAAGCTATCTACGAAAAACACTTACAATTTACAAAACGCTACCTACTTGGGTATAAGGAATTGAACTGAGGGGCATCACTAAGCCTTCCAATATCGAATGTCTTCAATCCTTTCAGTCTAAAGACGTCAAATCAATTATAAATGCTCCGTATTATGTCTCCAATATTACACTCCACAACGACATTACAATCACATTTATTCAAATCATAATTCCTCAAAAATTTACCAATTTCCACAATAATCTCTTACATCAACCCGATAGTCTCGCCCAAGCTTTGTCCAACAGAACCCGTCCATATTACATGGCGTCTCAATGGCCCCGCGACCTCCTTTCTGAGGCGTAGGCACTGTAGTTTATTCAGTGAAGTGGGAAAATAATATTGATTATCTGCTCCCTAAAATGTTAATATGTAAATAGCTGTAAATATATCTAAGTTAATCAAATTACATATTGTAACAAAGAATTGCAGACTGTAATAAAATATTTTTAAAAAAAGTTTACCCTACGGGAGTTTCTCGTTATCCGTGTTCAACTCATCCGCGAAGGCCCCCAAGTTGAGATTGACCGCAGAAGTGAATGAAGAAAAGGATAAACTAGTGTAAAAACTGTAACTGACAAGAGCAAAAATTTTGAGAAGACTTTTAAGATTAGCTCAGAAGTTAGAAGACAAAATCATATACGAGCCAATTGTGGAACGAAGCATCAACGTAACATGACTCCTAACTCATGGTCAACAATGGTCCCTCTTTTTTCCTGCTTGGAACAAACGTCATACTTGTTACTGTACATTATTTTTACTTATTGAAAAAAAACCTGAAATATGTGTGTATAATTTCATAGATAACATTGATGGTAGGCGCACGCGATGCAGAAAGGTCTGATTGGTATGCACATAAAAGATGCTTCAGAGCCTGAAATTCGAGGGGTTTCGTATTATCCACGGTTCTCGATATCCGCGGGGGATACGAACCGAGCATCTACTGTCCTAGAAACTGCAGTTGGATTGAACTCGTTCTTACGCCCGGAGCCGAAATTCGGTAGGTCCTGGGTTTCTCCAACTCCAATATATTTATAAAGCGCTGCCACAAAAAAAGAAACGTTTTGCCTTAACTCAATTCTCTGCAGAGCTTTCGTTCTCGCTTTTAGCTTTAACTAATCAAACAGGTATTTTACTCAAACTCATACGTGAATTAGAACTAGACAGCACAACAACATTTTGTATAAGTTAGTGATGAGAGATAGCGTCAGTTTGTAATGGGTTTCAAAAAAAATTTTTTTTAAGTGTGTATTTCAACTTCGAGGTTATATGAACCCCTCGGGGTGCTAGTTTTTGAAAAAAATCCCATTTGTAAGTATCTCGACTCTGCATTCGAACCCTTGACCTTTGACTAACAGTGATGAGCGCCGTGTCAACGCCTAAACCGTTGCGGCCACCGACACCCTATATATTTCCAACTTTATATTCCCTTTCTTCTAGAAATTAATTTGTATTTAACAGTGACTTTATTTTATTTGTTTAAGGAGGATGTTTCCGACGCTCAGAGTGTCTTTCAGCGGGCTCAGGCCTGATCAGAGGTACGCCGTCCTTATGGATATCGTACCGGTCGATAACAAGAGATACAGGTACGCGTACCATCGTTCCTCTTGGCTTGTTGCTGGCAAAGCGGACCCACCAGCTCCTTGCAGGCTGTACCTCCACCCGGATTCTCCCTTCACCGGAGAGCAGCTCAGGAAGCAAGTAGTTTCCTTCGAAAAAGTCAAACTCACCAACAACGAGATGGACAAACATGGACATGTACGTTGATCATATCCCAGATAAATACAATATTTATATTTAAAAATATTTTTCTTAATCATTTCATGTAACATCAAAATCATAACATCAAAATGGCCAGTAAAGAATTCGACTACAATTTTGACTCTTAATATATCACTGATTGATCATAAAGTAGTTCCTGAGTGGTTTTAGTAGTTTTTCCAACACGTTAAGTAGGCATTTATTCGACGTGAAACATATAATAATAAGAACTTTAATTTAGTTCATTCACACTCAAATATGACATCAAGGTTAAATAGTAAAATCACGATTTGAAAAAACTGCTTTGCTCGTAATGAATATTCTGCATTTTTTAATGGGGTTTAGTGTTAAAAAAATCCTTTCTGAAAATAAAAACCAACAAATGATAATGTAAATGTGAGGCGAGTTGTTCGGTTTAAAATAAAACGGTGACCGTCAAACGTGGTGAGGTATAAAAAAAAGTTTTTCTAACATGTCAAGTAGGCATTTGTTATACTTATTCGACGAGAAACATAACAGTAAGAACTTCAATTCAGCTCATTCACCCTCAAATATGACATCAAGGTTAAATAGTAAAATCACGATTTGAAAAAAAACTGCTTTGCTCGTAATAAATATTATGCATTTTTTTAAAAATGGGGTTTAATGTTAAAAAAAAAATCCTTTCTGAAAATAAAAACCAACAAATGATAATGTAAATGTGAGGCGAGTTGTTCAGTTTAAAATAAAACGGTGACCGTCAAACGTGGTGAGGTATAAAATAGAGGTACAAGTCAGGGGAGGAGAAGCCCCATATGGATGAGTGGTAGAATACATCTCCCGAACCCCATCTGTCCCTCATACCTAAAATATGAAACAACCCTCAATCGTGAGTGTTGCCAAACATAAAATTTTACTGTTTCTCCATATGTATGACTTGTGGATGTACTGAAGTGGGTTCGAGCATCAAATATTGCCAGCCCCGGTTTTATGCCCTAACGGGGAAAACGGCATTATATTCGGCGAAGGAAATCAATTTTTTCACGATCCCGCTTCTTCCACCAACGATAACATATATATATTTATCCATGAGGATGTTGGGGGGGAGGCAATAAACTATTTCTTTCGTTATGATGACTCGCTTGCAAAGTCTAATGCGACCCCAATTCAGGCCAGAGGATCCCCAAGTGGATTTATTCTCCAACCTTCAAAAAATCCATCTCTTTTTAAGTAGTCGGCTCGAGGTAATTCGTCTATTTCTTTAAGATGCGTCCCTCAAATACTGGCCATGATCATAAATTTCTTAATGATTACTACCCTTAAGGAAACGCTCACTTGTTTCATATTTTCATTCATCATACATTAATTAGTATCCTACGTTTGTTATCAAAATTATGTTGAAATGTCTATTCTTTGAGAGGAACCGTAATATATAAAATTTGATGTACACATATTTAAACCATTTTTCCTCCTGAGTTTAGTGTGTATACGTCAGCATAGAACGAGTGAATGATATTTTATTGACAAAACGTTTTATTAAAAATGAGCAAGGGAAAGAGGCATAGTACGTAAACACCCTAATACCATTTTGTGTTTGTGATTTATAAATATTTAATATTTACAAATTATTTTAATGTAAAGCAATGTTGAGGAGAAACGTTTTTAATTCTACATAAAAACACATGCTGAAGAATATAGAAGTTTACAATTAAATAAACAAATTGTAATAAATCGTAAATTAAGTTTATTACTAGGAACTTAATCCATTGACAAAAATTAAACATTAATTATTTGGAGATCGTGAGAGGCGGTCTGGTGTGACGTAGGTTTAGAAAAACATTTTCTTTATCGTGCCAACGTTTCGATCTTTATTGAGATCATCTTCAGAGCCTGGGATAAACATTGTTCCGATTATACAAATACATGTAGGATGTGAAAAAATTGAATTTTTAGCATTGTATGAATTCACTTTTTTCATATCCTACTTGCATTTGTATAATTTAAACAATGTTTATAAATCGCAGTCCCTGAAGATGACCTCAATAAAGATCGAAACGTTGGCACGATTAAGGAAATTTTTTTTTCTAAAACCTACGTCTCACCAGACCGTATCTCACGATCTCCAAATAATCATTAACTAACGGTCACTAAACACCACACATTAAACATTGAGCTTTGCAAAATGGACTGATTAGCGAGATTAGCCCTTAGTTTCGAGACGTAAGGCGTTTAAGAATGCCTGTGTTTCCAGTAGGCTGAGGTAGAATGCAACTTGAACTTTTGTTCGAATCTAACTTCCAAGAATCGAACCCGGGACCTTTACCTTACAGTCATGAGCGCCGTAACAGGGCCTAAACTGTTGCAGCTACCGGCGCATCATCTTTTTACCTTACAAAAATCAAAACACTTCTTTCCATAAAGGCTCGGTTAATGGAAGATTAAATTTTTTTGAAATTTGACATCGAAACGAATAACTGAAATCGGTCAAAACTGAACCTGTCGATCTTTTGCAGCTGGTTTTGAACTCGATGCACAAATATCAGCCGAGGATTCATTTGGTGAAAAGACCCGAGCCTGGATCGTCTGCTCCCATCACCGACCTGGAGCAGGAGATGTACAAGACGTTCGTCTACCCGGAGGCCGTATTCACGGCGGTCACCGCATACCAAAACCAGTTGGTAAGTGATATTCAATTTTTCAACATTTCACAAGAAAAATAGTATTAAAAATTTCCTTCAAGGCTCGATCTGAGATTGTTGAATTTGAAATAACGTTTCGGCTGTTTGCTATAAATAATACAAATCGTTGTCGTTGAATGATTTACACAACCAACATTTAAGAGCTAAATTAACCGTAAAAGTTGTATAATATTTTTTTTTAAATTCAACCTAGGGGCTTACATAATTAAAATCTATTACTAATTTCCACAATTAAATGGCATCACATAAAACTTGATAATCATCCTAATCTTATTGAGTGCGTAAAGCATGAACACTTGCGGGGTCATTACAACCCTCGGGTTCCGGTCCGAAAAAACAAACATTTGGAAGTACTTTGGGCTCGAGCCGGGATTCTGTGATGAGTCACCGTGTCATCAGACTCCAAACATTGCGGCCACCGGCGGTGCCCATTTAAAAATAAGTGACATTTTCTTTTCCTATTTTCCTACCGCTTGCAATAAAGTTTATAGTTTTCAGTTGCAGTAAAATCATGAGGCTTAACTCGTATGAGTTGTCTGGATAGATGTCCGACCTCTAACAAATGTACTGCTTCTACGTTGACGTGTCCTCTAAACCAATGTGAATTCATGGTGGAAGTCTTCATCTCTGATGTACCAGGGGCTATGCTTCTCATTACTATATTTTGAAATCTTTGATTTGACGATTGGTCTTGCTGACACATCTCCTGAGCTGGATGCCGTATGTCCACTAGGCTTGAGCACCTGCTGATAAAGTAAAAAGCTTACTTTCAATGGTCAAGAGAGAGCTTCTGTCTATTGACGTAATGGTCCGGAATTTAATGGGAGGTCTTCATTCTTTCTTTATTTTTTTCCACATTTTTTACGTGTGTTTTCCATCGAAAACATCTGTCATACCAAAGTAATTTGCCTCGTTGGTGTATGGAATTTCGAGAACTTAAGATAGGCTGGTATGTATTATATTTTCCGGTAGGTGAAGTACCGATTTTTCTTTATTCAGATTTATTCTCCTTTCGGAAGAGTTCAATTGTCGATTGAGCATCACTTTTTCCTACCGACATATTTGCCGTATTATCAGCGAACGTTGCCGTCGTATTGTCTTCGTTTTCTGATAGATCGCAGATATAAGATAGGGCTTAATTTACTGCCGTGAGGCAGTCCAGCATGGATCGGGGAGAGCTCCGAATAGACCTCTTCTTATATCTATCGTATCTTTCAGCAAGGTAAGATTCAATCAGTTTTTAGGTAGTTTGCTGAAATGGAGTTCTTATTTTATATGAAACCTTCATGCCAGACTATCGAAAGCTCGGGCCACAAATAGGAAAATAATCTAGCTTACTGTTTTATCATGAACTGAGTAATTCTCGTTTCTCAATTTCGAAGTCTAATCCAATTGTCGTCTGTTTACCGTTTTGAATGAATATTTCAACGAGTGTTTAAATCGATCGGTAAGAAAAAATTGGTAATAAATATTTCATTTACTTATTAAGTTTTCCTCTGTTCTAATTGCTAAATTGGCTTAAGAAGGACACTCGTCTATCGATGTTTCATTAAGGCATTAGAAAATTATCGTCAGTGGAAATGGGGGATGAAATATTCAGCAAGAGGGGACTTGGCTAAGGACTCTAGTTATCGGAAGAAACAAGGACGGCCAGGAAACAATTTGCATCCAACCTTTGATTATTTAATATCCCGCAACATCACCATGCCGCAGGAATGGACAACGCTCTTATTAATAAAAGGGACGAATAAATTATTGGTAATTCATTGAATGTTAATTGAGCAGATATTGCAGTATTTATAATTCTATAAAGAAAAGTCTAATTGAATTTAAATAATCAAATAGTTTTTCGGTTTATCCGTCCCAGGTCAGAAGTAAATTGTATTTTCTTCAAGGAACAAAGCTGTCGTGCACAACTGATGATAGCGGTAGTTTTATACGGAACTTTTAAATATTAAATTTTAGTAAATAGTTTTGAATATCTATTTTAATGGCTGAAAAATCTGGATAATGAGTTATGATTAGAGATAGGATTTCTGTTATCGCACATTTTACCTGTTTGAGTTTAGTGCTTTCTTAATTCTGTATTTGGCGTACGCAAGTTTTGGTATGTTCGTATTTGTTATATTTAGACTGATATCAAAATTAATCGTCCTTTTGAATGTCTAAAACTATTTTTTGTGAAGAGCAAAACACTATTATCATAATATCGATAAAATAATGAAATATATAAAATACGAAGTGATGATTGCTAGTCTCTGGTGTACACTTTAACTTTATTTTTAAATACATATAAAAATAGCTTTCACCGTTGATTTACCGTTCTTGATGCGCCGGTAATTTAAATACTATACGATTTATTACATTCGATTATGATTTTTTGTAACTTTATGCATTTAATCTACACTAATGGACAAAATAAACCATCCTTAAATTTTAATGTATTTAGGTTTATTCATATTTTACAAACCAAACAAAGGTTTGGTTGTAAAAATAAGACATTAAAAAAGAAAATGTGTATTAACTAATTCTAAAAAATATTGAGCAAAGAAAAAAAAGTAGAACTTTTTTGTCTTCTTTAATACCGAGTATTTTCACCTCAGGCACGAATCACGTCCTTCAATCGCCTTTTCATTTTTTGGAAAATATTTCTGATAATTGTTCGGAAATCGTGAGGTGCGGTCTGATGTGATGTAGGTTTCAGAAAAACATTTTCTTTATCGTGCCAACGTTTCGACCTTTATTGAGATCATCTTCAGGGCCTGGGATTTACAAACATTGTTTAATTTTAACAAATACATGAAGGATGTATAAATTCATTTTTTTCCACATCCGACATGTATTTGTTAAATTTAAACAACGTTTGTAAATCCCAGGCCTGAAGCTGATCCCAATAAAGGTCGAAACGTTGGCACGATAAAGAAAATGTTTTCTGAAACCTACATCACACCTCACGATTTCCGAATAATCATCGACTAACGGTCACTAATCACCACACATTTCTGATAATCCTGAGGATTTCTTTCCCATTCATCAAGAACAGCCGTTTCCAACATTTCTGGGGTGTTAGGACCTGGCTTTCGCCATCGTACTCGTCGCTTAAGTTGGTCCCAAATGTGCTGGATTGGGTTCAAATCTGGACCTTGAGCTGGCCTCACCAAGCACCCAATTCCATCCTCATTCAGGTAGTCATCCACAATACGTACTCCATGGGGCCTGGCATTATCCTGCATTAGCAAGAACTCTCACCAATCTGAGGAATAAATGGCACTACATGTTCTTTGATTGTATGTACCTCTGTGAAGTTAGAGATCGGGTTTTTTGGGGAATAGGGACCCCCTCATTATCTGTTGTAGAAGGACAACAATGATATCTATTTTCGAGATCTAGAGATCTTCCGCGCACAACATCAATTCGGTGCGGGCATCCAAAGAAATTCCATCCCAGAACAAGGACCCACCGTGGAACCATACATCATGGAACGTACCTATCTCCTGTGCATCTCCTTATGAAATTACGCCCATCTGAAGATTTGATGCCAACTCTCACCTCATCTGTAAAACTAGCTCGTCCCCAATATTGGAATGTCAAATTCTCGTGGACGAATTGAAACATGTCATTTTCTGAGCTCTTGTAAGAAGGGGTCTACGAACCCGATGCCGGGCCCTGTGGTTATTTTCATTGATCCTTCTTCTTACAGATCTGGAGGAAATCGAAACATTCAAACTTGTCTGTCTCAAACGCCTGACTGGAGCTATTGAAAAATATTTAAGAATAAGAATGAAATCTACGAAAGAAAAAGATTCACTGAAAGCTATATTTAGGCGTAGTAGAATAGAAAAGCATAACACCATGTTTTCTGCGAATGGGATTAATCAGTACAAAAGTAAATAAAGGATATATACAAAGCATTATTTACTTCTTTTCGTCTGAATTTTTGATTTTTCTGTAGTCGAAAATCCCAAGAGCACCACATTGAAAAAATGGCGGCTTGCAACGAGCAGAATAAATTGCATTTATACATTAATAAAATTCAGATAAATAACTGAATTCTATATAAATAATATTTACTGCTTATTTTGATTACGATAGCTCCTAATTAAGCGCAATTAATATAGAAAGATAATAGATTTAATTTGAAATACATTAAATTTGGCAATCAGTGTGCAAGTGTTTAGCAATGATTATATGCAACCAGAAGTTTCGATTACTGTACTCAAATTTGGCGTTAATTCGCCTTATTGGGGAGGATACCCTTTCTAGATAGATCTGCATTCACCTTGTAAGGTTTTTGTTCCTCATTTTGTCGATAGTCTATGAAGTATTGGAAAATTACATTTTTGCTAGCTTGTTGTGAAATCGGTTGTTAACAAGTTTGGTAGAATAAAGAACAGTTAAAGAAGATCTCAGTGGAGCGTTTGTTATTTGCACAAGCCTGAACAAAAACTATTTAAAGCCAGCCTTCCTTTGAAAGTTTTTATTCTTTGTAAATTTTGGATTTGGCCAGTAATATACAGGGTGTCCTTGTTAGATGGCCCGGCTGAATTTCTTAATAAAAAATAATTTAAATGGATCACTGTTCCTCAATTTTTTGAGGGAGGTTTTACCAACACTATTAGATGATGTTCCTCTGTAACAACGACAAGGAATTATTCTCCAGATTGACGGATGCATATAATTCTTTGCAGGTGAGACGTTATTTCAATCGCCACTGCCGGGATAAGTGGATAGGACCCTCTGTTGGTCTCCTCGGACACCCGATTTAACTTGACTATTTTCTGTGGGGCCATTTAAAAAACAGTGTCTACGCCAATCGTAACCCAGCAAACTCAGTTGGAGAATTGCGGCAAAGGATAGAAAATGTTTGTCAATCCATTTCCCCTGACTATCGCTCTGAACACCTGAGAAGAGTGGTTAAAAAGAGCAGATCTTTGCATCTTTAAGCAAGGCAGGCAATTCGAACATGAAATGTGATGAAT